CGTGACGGTGAGCTATAATTTGTGGCCTGCTCAGTGAGTCCTTACCTGGTAATGCAATAATAATAATAATAATCATCAAAAGCTCTCAGTTTTTTTCCCCCCCCCCCGTCATGTTTTAAGTAAAAGTTAGGGGCTGCGTGTTATGAGTGCGGAGAATAACGTTCGTTTGTCTGCCGGCAGATGCGTTTCAATCTAGTTGCTCAGAATAATATTTTGCAGAAGACGGTGTACATGACCAGACAGAGGCAAGAAGTTCAGAATCATATTCGGGAAGACTGCTCTCCGAAGCAGACTATTGTTCTGATTATATTACTCACTTTTTTGTTGTTGAAAAATTAGCCCAACGTTTGGAATATGTCTTACTCTCCGGCGTGTGTTATTATCTGGAGAATACGGTAACATTAAAACAAAACAATCCATGACCCGCATTTAAAATGGGCCTTTATTGCAATAAATTTGGCAAAAATAAAAGCTCGGAGAATTCCAGTATCGGTTTGACTGTCGTGCGGCGAATCTCGATCTCACATACAGAGCGAGTGCCGCCACCTGATAGGTCACTTGAAGGGATCTCAGACGTAGTTCTGTGGGATCCGCTGCCGCGGACCGTTCATTAACACGGGCTGAGTGGGAAGGGGGTTGCATATGACTCGACGCGCAATCGAGATAACATTTTTGGGTGAAAGACAAAAAAAAATATCCCACAATGACCGTAGAGTTCACACACTCAACTTACTATCACCCTTACAGCAACCTTGCGCTGACGCAGCATTATTCTAAATTTTTATACACACAATAAAACAACCCTCTCTACTTCCGCCCGCCCGAGACGATAAATGCGAACGATACCCAACCTGCAGAATTAACTATGAACGGAGGGTTATTTAACCCCCTCGGTGGAACGGCCGCGACCTTTAACGCCGACCGGTTAATCCGCAGTCCGTGGAATGGTGCCCCTTTGACGGATTGATGGGCGATCGCGCGACGCGCCGTATGCCCGGCTGAATCACTGTCCACGCGCGGCGATACCTTATCCTCACGGAAGGGGAGCTCATTTTGCCGTAATTAGCTATGGATTTTCTCGGTCTCCTACCCCCCCCCCCCGTTCCACCCCCATCCCGTTCCCATCTGATCGTAACGGAGCCGCTGCTTAATTAGTCCGCTCGCAGTGGAGAGAAAAGAGAGACAGCGCGCGACCGGCGCCGCGATGGTGGCGCATGTGCGTATCGTTGAACTTCTTTCGCACCGTACGTAGGCAACCCGCGCTGATGGTGAGATGCAGGCGTGGTGGGAGCCGAGTCGAGGACGATGTCAGTGCGTATTGTAGGCAACCGCGCTCGTTGGAGGTGCGGGGGAAGGACAACAAACTAAACGCACGAAAAGCAGTTTGAAAGAAACGAGTTTTCGATCGAAATTATTTAAAACCGCCCGGAACCTCGGAACCGTGGGGCGCCCGAGCTACGGCCGAGGTTGGCGTGGTGAGCGTGGGGGGGGGGGCAGGGAGAGAGGGGAGGGGGGGGCGGCAAGGAGACCGGGGCAGCTCTGAGCAATTGTGTCTTGGGCTGAGGCCGGCGAGCCGCCGGGCCGCGAGGTCACCCGAGGCACGGAGGGGTTCAGGCCGGAGATGTCGTCGAGCCCTGACATCAGGCTGTGAAAGGAACTTTCTCATCTCGCAGAACGTTGCCAGGATACTCACTTCAAGTGGCCTTTGCATGCTTTCCAAATATGAAGATCCCCCTCCGTGTAGCCTGTGACTAGACTGTTGGGGCCAGTTCTGTTAGCGAGCACCTATGAAGGCCGGAACGGTACACGAGGGGGTGGGTGGCCAGCACCACGCCCGACCGCCTTTGTCTCCCTAGTGGCAATGTTTACACACCGCACCAGGTACTCATTTGACCTAGGGGAGGCCCGGGACCGGTTCAGATAATCGTCACTGGTGTTGGCCGTGAGCGGGAATCGAACCCGGGTCGCCAGGTTCATAGCGCAGCGCGCTAACCGCTACACTATCGCTCCCCATCCAGGTACACACACACGTACACACACACACGTACGCACTGCTGTGAGGCTGTCAAAACCGAAATGTTGAATTGTCAGAGATGAAATTTAGCCACATTAACTGAAGAACCAACAATCCATGAGATGGCGGGGGGGGGCGGGGGGCTGTTTGTGTGCAGACGTTGACAATCGGACGGAGATCATCAACTCGCTAACCGTGAGGACGCGGTTGAATGACGGGCGGCTAAAGCCTGGAATTCGAACGCGGGATCGCAGCGGCACTCAATGAAGTCCATCAGCAGCCCCCTTCAATTGCGTTTTACTTGGGCTCTGGCGCAGAACCTGGGTCAATGCAATCAATGGGACGCGCACTGCAAAGTGGACAAATTATCAGGGCCACTGCACACCGGCCCCTTTTAATTGCTCGGTGCGCGTGAAAGTTCAATTCGGAGGCAGTGGCAGACGAAGGTGGAACAAACACCCCCGAAAAGTGCGCGAAGCGGGGACGGGTTGGGGGTGGGGATGGATGCGTGCTCGGGGAGTGGCGTCCAGAAACTGAGAGAGGAATGCGTGGGTTGGGGGGGGGTGGAAGTAAGGCAGGGTTAAAGATGTTGTTCGCAGCGTGAAGGGAAGTAGAGTGGACGTGGGCAGGACGCGTCACGGCTAGAAGGGACGATGGCAGACGGTCAAGATCAGTTACGGAGTGGCGGCGGCCGAGGGATGGAATGCGTGCAGGAGGGCGAGGGAAGCGATGAAGCGGTTCGCCGCTGCTGGGTGGACGGTCGCATCGCAGTTCCGCGAGAAATGGCGACGGCGTGGGGAGGCCTTCATCCGGCAGTGGGTCGATCAAGGCTGCTGATGTATGTGCGTTCAACTTCTTTCGCACCGGAAGTAGCCAACCGCACTAATCGCAGGTGCGGCGGAAGGACGACGAACTAAACACAAAATGCAGTTCTAGACAAAATTAGTTTTCAACCTGGCTTGATTTAGAAGTGCATAGCTCCAGTGGCTTCCTAATATCGCAAGGAAGAGCGTTCCAGACGGCCGCAGAAGCGCATCTGAAAGCGCAATGGACCATAAGGGGAGCGTTATAAACTGCCACGCTTGTTCGTTCCATGGCCGTGGCGGGCGAGGGGCACGACACACCCTCCCTCTTCCTCCACCTTGCGCGAATCATATCGGTCGCGAAAGTTCTTTCTTCCCCAGATTCAGGGGCACCCCGTTGGTCTGCCCCCCCACCTCCAGTGAGCATCCCACGGACCTGACGAGCGCCTGCCCTGGCCCGCGCGGCTGTTAGGCAGGAGATTTATCGCGCGGCCTCTAGGCTGCAAACGTTGAGGCTACTGCTCGTTTGTAATAAATGCAAGGTAAAAGAATACAGTGCGCTTTATAGATCTAACCATCACCGCCTCCTCCTCCTCCCTCTCTCGCCTTCTCTGCCCTCCCTTGCGCACACTTTACGGCGTGGCGATGACAAAGACAAAGATCCCCCGTATAGCCTGTAACAGACTGTTGGGGCAAGTGCTAGTTCGCGAGCATGTGTGCTGGCCGGAACGGCACACGAGGGGGTTGGGTGGCCAGCACCACGCCCGACCGCCTTTGTCTCCCCAGTGGCGATGTTTACACACTCGCACCAGGTACTCGTTTGAGGCTGAGTCGTCCTAGGGGAGGCCCAGGACCGGTTCAGAAAATCGTCACTGGTGTTGACCGTGAGCGGGAATCGAACCCGGGTCGCCAGGTTCATAGCGCAGAACGGTAACCGCTACACTACCGCTCCCCCCATACACACACGCACACCTACACACGCACACCTACACACGCACGCACATGCGAGCACACACACGCTTCCACTGGTTCACTAGAACCTATTAAAAGAAAAACCTCAACAGTATATTAACTCGAAGCACATTACGCACGTAACGACGCTCGTCTCACATTCAGAGGCCAGGCGAGAATGATTGAATGTCTCAATCAGAGTCTGGTGGGAGTGTCTCACTGCGCCGGCGAGCCAGAGTCGCACTGCGCTCATCGGCCAACTACTGGTCCTGAGCCATTCTGTGGAAAATTCCACATTCCTACGGTTGGGGGCGGGGGGGGGCGGGCAAGTTTATCCGTAGATCAATCACCGTTGATTGATTGAATGAATCAATTAATGAAATCAATACAAAATATTATGAATAAGTGGTCATAATAAGAACAAAACGTTTAACACGTAGGAGGCTTTCACGACCAATATTATCCATAATAGAGGTGTTTTTTTGGGTTAGATCGCGTAAATATAAACTTGTCGTTAAACCCGCCACCACCCGATACAGCCAATTCGTAAGGTGCGGAGGGAAAAACCGGAGTACCCGGATAAAAACATCCACGCGACCACGGGGAGAGAAACGCAAGCTCCAAATATACAGCAGGTGTCAGGGTCGTTATAGAACCCACGACCTCCTGCACACCAGGCGAGGTAGTTAACATCTCCTAGCCACTGTGGTGGTGATGATGATGAGAGAGAGACACGCAAGCTCCAAATATACAGCAGGCGTCAGGGTCGTGATCGAACCCACGACCTCCTGCACACCAGGCGAGGTAGTTAACATCTCCTAGCCACCTGTGGTGGTGATGATGATGAGAGAGAGACACGCAAGCTCCAAATATACAGCAGGCGTCAGGGTCGTGATCGAACCCACGACCTCCTGCACACCAGGCGAGGTAGTTAACATCTCCTAGCCACTGTGGTGGTGATGATGATGAGAGAGAGACACGCAAGCTCCATATATACAGCAGGCTTCAGGGCCGTGATTGAACCCACGACCTCCTGCACACCAGGCGAGGTAGTTAACATCTCATAGCCACCGTGGTGATGATGAGAGACACGCAAGCTCCAAATATACGGCAGGCTTCAGGGCCGTGATTGAACCCACGACCTCCTGCACACCAGGCGAGGTAGTTGACATCTTGCTCCATCGTAGACAAGGGCCCCGTCGCGGCGGAGCCGCTGACGCCGTCGCGCGAACCTTGAGCGTGCGGTCGCGGGAGCCGCTGACGAGGAGGCCGTCGCACAGGAAGCCGAGGCCCCTCACGGGGCCGCCGTGGCCCGAGAGCGCGGCCACGCAGCGGCCGCTCGGCGCCTCCCACACGCGCACCGTGCCGTCGCGGCCTCCGCTCGCCACGCTCGTGCCGCGCACAGCAGACGCACGTCACCCTGCGGGGGGGGGGGGGAGATGTGTGTAGGGGGGGGTGAGAGAGGGGGAGAGATGGAGAGAGGGGGGGGGAGATGGAGAGAGAGAGGGGCGCGATGGAGAGAGAGGAGGGAGAGGTGGAGCGAGAGTGCGGAGATATGGAGAGAGATGGGGGAAAGATGGATGGAGAGAGATAGGGGAGAGATAGATAGAGAGAGGGGGGAGAGCTGGGGAGGAGTGCGGAGATATGGAGAGAGAGAGGGGGGAGATGGAGAGAGAGGGGGGAGATGGAGAGAGAGGGCAGAGATGGAGAGAGAAGGGGAGATATGGAGAGAGAGGGGGAGAGATGGAGAGAGAGGGGGGGAGATGGAGAGAGAGGGGGAGAGGTGGAGAGAGAGGGGGGTGGGGAGAGATGGAGAGAGAGGGGGGGAGATGGAGAGAGAGGTGGAGAGAGAGAGGGGGAGAGAGGTGGAGTGAGAGAGGGGGGAGAGATGGAGAGAGAGGGGGGGGAGAGAGATGGAGAGAGAGGGGGAGAGGTGGAGCGAGAGTGGGGAGAGAGATGGGAAATAGATGGGAAATAGATGGGGGAGAGATGGAGCAAGACCGGGGCGAGATGGTGCGAGGGGGGGGATGGAGCAAGAGGGGGAGAGATAATAATTATTTATTTGCCCAGGAAAGCCACACTGAGTCTGATGACATTTCCAGGAGGGTCCTGCCGCTACATTGGGATGTTTGGCTAGCACCAAATACATTGTACATGTGTTTAATTATTGTAGGAAATCAGAGAACCCGGAGGGAACTCACGTGGACAATGGAAAGAGCATACCGACTCCACAGAGGAAGTTTCGAATGTCAGAAATCGAACCCAGGCCCTGTTTGGTGCGAGGTACAAGGATTCGTACTGCGCATCAAGACGGGAGGGAGACACGGAGCGAGAGGAGTCGGGGAGATGCAGAGACGGCATGTGAAGTGGGAGTTGAGTCGAGACGATGTCGGTATGTATGTACGTCGAACTTCTTTCGCGCCGTACGTTGCCAACCGTGCTAATCGGAGGCGCGGGGGGAAGGGCAGCAAACTAAACACAACGCAGTTGAGAAGAAACGAGTTTTGAATAAAGATGTAAAAGCGCATAGCTCCAGTGGCTTCCTAATATCGGAAGCAAGAGCGTTCCAGACGGCCGCAGACGCGCGCGATGCGGCGGCCACCGTCTTGGTTCGAGGGCGGAGCCAAAATCCGCCGCCGCTGCTGCTTCGAGGATGACCGGGAGCTCGCGTGATGATGTTTTTTTATGCTCCTCCGACGAGATCGGCGAGGTGCGATGTCCCCCGTGATGGATCACGGTGGGACTCCTTTTCATTCCCTATCACGGCGGCCCGCGTGCAACCACGCCGCGCGGCTGGGTCAAGGGGTCAAACGGGTCAGAGGACCCCATCGTGTCGCGCGTCGTTGGCCAATGCGACCTTCTGACATTTGGCAAACCAAAAAAAATGCGCTCGCAGTCACCGTCGCCAACCGCGCGGCAGGTCGCCGAGGGGAGCGTGCGGGGCTACTCACTCGTGGTGGAGTTTGTTCGGATCGCGCACAAATTGAACTCGAGAGAAGGACATTCAGAGGCGCGGGAAAATGAATTCACGGGAAAGCGAACGAAAAGAGAGAAGTGACGGCACGGACGGCCGCCGTGTCCGGCGCAGTGAGTGTGGAGGAGCGAGTGAATACCAGACGACCGGTGTTGCTACACGGTCTCTACGTGAGTCTATGAGTCTCTATGTGAGTCTATGGGTATCTATGTGATAATATGGGTGTCTGAGGGAGTGTATGGGTCTTTGTGCGAGTCTATGGGTCTCTATATGAGTCTATGAGTCTATGGGTCTCTCTGTGAGTTTATGAGTCTATGGGTCTCTCTGTGAGTTTATGGGTCTCTATGTGAGTCTATGGGTCTCTCTGTGAGTCGATGAGTATATGGGTCTCTCTGTGAGTCTCTGAGTTTCTATGTGAGTCTATGAGTCTACGGGCCTCTCTGTGAGTATATGGGTGTCTGAGTGAGTCTATGGGTCTCTATGTGAGTCTATGGATCTCTGTGTGAGTCTATGGGTCTCTATGCGAGTCTATGAGTCTATGGGTCTCTCTGTGAGTTTATGGGTCTCTATGTGAGTCTATGGGTCTCTCTGTGAGTTGATGAGTCTATGGGTCTCTCTGTGAGTCTATGAGTTTCTATGTGAGTCTATGAGTCTACGGATCTCTCTGTGAGTATATGTGTGTCTGAGTGAGTCTATGGGTCTCTATGTGAGTCTATGGATCTCTGTGTGAGTCTATGGGTCTCTATGCGAGTCCATGAGTCTATGGGTCTCTCTGTGAGTTTATGGGTCTCTATGTGAGTCTATGGGTCTCTCTGTGAGTTGATGAGTATATGGGTCTCTCTGTGAGTCTATGAGTTTCTACGTGATTCTATGAGTCTACGGGTCTCTCTTTGAGTATATGGGTGTCTGATTGAGTCTATGGGTCTCTATGTGAGTCTATGGATCTCTGTGTGAGTCTATGGGTCTCTATGTGAGTCTATGAGTCTATGGGTCTCTCTGTGAGTCTATGGGTCTCTATTGTGAGTCTATGGGTCTCTATGTGAGTCTATGAGTCTATGGGGTCCTCTCTGTGAGCCTATGGGTCTCTATGTGAGTCTATGGGTTCTCTATGTGAGTCTATGAGTCTATGGGCCTCTATGTGAGTCTATGGTCTCTATGTGAGTCTATGAGTCTATGGGTCTCTCTGTGAGTCTATGGGTCTCTATGTGAGTCTATGAGTCTATGGGTCTCTCTGTGAGTCTATGGGTCTCTACGTGAGTCTATGAGTCTATGGGTCTCTATGTGAGTCTATGGGTCTCTGCGTGAGTCTATGGGTCTCTACGTGAGTCTATGAGTCTACAGCTCGGTGCCGCACGACAGTTGCGAGACGGGAATGTTGCGATGAGACGGGCGGAAGCTCACAAGGCCGCGGTAGAGCCCCCCCCCCCCCCCCGCCCCCGTGGGCTTTGCGACAGAGGACAACGACTCAGAGCTTTCTCAATCAGCTCCACTGGGAGGTCGGTGGAGCTGGTTGAGAAGCTCCAGCGGGGGGGAGCGAGGGGGGTTTCAAGGCGTCTCGCGCCAAGCACTGGCAGCGTTGGGGGGGGGGGTCTGAGATTTTTGAGACACTTGAGATTATTATTGCGAGTGAGTGTGCCGTGCCGGCCTTCATAGGCTGCTTGCTACTCGCTAACATGTTACACAGGCGATCTCCATCGTACACACAACGATCTCAAAGCACTTAACCTCACGCGGGTAAGGCATGCCGGCTGACTTTCGATGGCAATGGAAACTCTTAGGGGCCGTCTATAAATGACGTCACGCACCTGGGGGGGGGGGGGGTCAGACATTTGTGACGATGTGTGACGAGGGGGGGGGGGTGATAAATGTGACGTCACATCAAAATGCGCAACTTTAAATAAATATAGACAACACGTTCTACTTAATTAGACTTTTTAATAAATGTTTGCTCCTACAACATCAGAGTGCAGCGCCACCTTAAAAACGCACTACAATGACAATAGTTTTAAAGCGATTTGAAGCATGTTTTATTTTTTTGGGGGGGGGGCAGAGCTTTGTGACGTCATATTTGAGGGGGGGGGTCTGACTTTTTGTGACGCCGTGTGGCGAAGGGGGGGGGGGGTCAAAAATCGTCCAAAATCGAGTGACGTCCGGCTGGGTTATGCCGAGTCAAACCCAGACTGGGATTCGGACGCACAAAGGAACGGCGGTCCCCGGCAGGCTCGTGAGCTGTCAGTGAAGGCGCTGCGGTCTATAATTGGCTGTTTTGGAACGTTTTAAAATACAAACTGCACCGCGGTAATCACCGCATGCATAATACATTGGCGATCAATTCATCGCGTCAACGTGTACTTTACCTGCACCCGTAACTCAAATGTTTACGCGCGCCTGGCGTGCACACGTTTGACATTCGCACAAAGCCACAGCGAGTTCCGCGAACAACAAAGAGCCCCCCGGTGTTGCCTTGCACGGGATGTTGGGGCAAGTGTTGTTAGCGAGCACCTATGAAGGCCGGCACGGCACACCACGGGATGGGTGGCCAGCGCCACGCTCGGCCGCCTTTGTCTCCCCAGTGGCGATGTTTTACACGCCGCACCAAGGTTACTCATTTGTGGCTGAGTCGACCTAGGGTGGTGTTGGCCGTGGGCGGGCATTGAACCCAGGTCACTGCGTTCGTGGCACAGTGGGCTAACCACTACGCAAGGACGTTTGCGGTCAGGGGAGGCAGGGGAGGCAGAGCCTCACCTGGCATACTCCCAATGAAAAAAGCTGTAAGGAAAAGTAAAAAAAAATAATAATCAAATAAAATAAATATTCAGATTTTTCCCACTGATCTGTGTTTTAAATGTAATTTCTGTACGATTCCAATCATTTTTATTTACACGCTTTTATTTAACTCACTCTGCTGTATCCTCAAATCTTGTAACTAACTGTTTACCCACTTCCCAATGTGGTTATCGACTGCAAACTTGGTATGCTTGTCATACTGATGACAATACCATATTCTATCATTAAATAAAAACATCTTTCAACATTCTTTTACACGCTTTTACTAAACTCACTCTGTTGTTGTATCCTCAAATCTTGTAACTCAATTTTAACCCACCTGACAATGTCGTATCGACTGCAAGCTTGGTATACGTATGTCATATTGATGACAATACTATATTATATCATTAAAAATAAAAAAATATATATATATTAAAAAAAAAATTATGTTATGTTTCGGCTTGGGTCTAATTGTCCACGCTCAACTGACGTTGGCTGTAATTGGCCCACGGCCCCCTTACGTTGTGGCGAGCTTCGGGGCCACTTCCTGGAGTCGTGGAGTTCTGTCATTACTCGTACGGTACATTTCATTAAAGCGTGTTCTTAAAAAAATATTTTTAAATATTACTTATTATAGTCAAAATCG